CAAAGCTATGGCTTTTCCAGTAGTTATGTATAGATGTGAGAGTTAGACCATAAAGAAAGCTGAGCACCAAAGAATTGATGCTTTTGAACTGTGGTGTTGGAGAAGACTCTTGAGAGTCTCTTGGAGATCAAACCAGTCAATTCTAAAGGAAATCAATCCTGAATATTCATTGGAAGGACTGATGCTGAAGCTGAAGCTCCAATACTTTGGCCACCTGATGTGAAGAACTGACTCACTGGAAAAGATTCTGATGCTGGGAAAGACTGAAGGTAGGAGGAGAAGGGGATGACAGAGGAAGAGATGGTTGGATGGCATCACTGACTCAATGAACATGAATTTGAGCAAGCTCTGGGAATAGGTAATGAACAGGGAAGCCTGGTGTGCTGCAATCCATGGGTCACAAAGAGTCAGACCACAACTGAGCGACCAAACGGAACTGACAGTTGTACCGGCCTTAGTGAATGGAAGTCCATATGGCCGAGCTCGTGCATAACCTCTATCCCTGCCACCATGGTCTCTTGTTGATGTGGTCCATTACGTTGTGGCAGGAGTGGCTGGGGAGAGAAGCTAACTTGTATTCACAGAATGGGTCAATTTGTCCTTTGATTATTGAACTCCTCCTCTGTTGAGTTTAGCCTTTGTGAACATTCACATGGGGTACCGATATCTTCACACCCCCCCACCCTCTCATTCAGGGAGGTCTATCCACACAGTCTTCCCCAGACTTTATAGTCCTCAAAATTCCAATCATGTTCCTTCCAAATCCCTGACCATCCAACAAAACCACTGGCTGCAGCCTATGAATCAGTGTGCTATCATACATTTGGCCATTTCTCCCTCCAAGCAAAATAAACAGCTAAATGCACTGGTTGAAGTTCTGCCCACTGGAAGGACCACCCTTCATGGCTGTCCTTCAGGGCTGTCACAGAGAGGCTGTAGCTTTGCAGCTGTCCACTTCTGGTGGTATCTGCGTATTTTGAAGGATCATCTGGAATCTAGGCCCAAAGAGAAATCTTGGGTCAGTTGAATATAAGAAAGACTTCTAAAAATATCACTAAGCTAGAAGAGCCCTGAATTTTTGCTGAATTTATTTCCTACTCTCTGACATACAAATGTCTTATCAGTAAGTTCGGAATCATTGCTACTTCTCGATCATTAGGTCCAATCATCATAATGTCATCAATATAATGGACCAATGTGACATCTTGTGAAAGGGTAAGTTGATCAAGATACCTGCAAACTAAATTATGACTTATGGCTGGAGAGCTGAACCCCCGAGGTAGGACAGTGAAGGAATATTGCTGGCCTTGCCAGCTGAAAGCAAACTACTTCTGGTCTTGGACAAGGATGGAGAAAAAGGCATTTTCCACCTCTGTAGCTGCATACCAGATACTGAGAATGTGTTTATTTGCTCAAGGAATGAAACCACATCTGGTGGGGCAGCTGCAACTGGAGTCAACTACCCAGTTACTTGTGATAACCCACTGTCATTCTCCATGCTCCATCTGTCCTCAGCACAGGCCCAATAGCAGAATTAAATGGGAATGTGCACTCAATTGCATCTTTCAAGTCCTTAATGGTGACACTAATCTCCACCCTCCGGGAATGCAGTATTGTTTTTGGTTTACCATTTTATTAGGAAGAGACAGTACTAGTGGCTTTCACTTGACCTTTCCTCCCATAATAGCTCTCACTCCATAGGTCAGGAAACAAATGTGAGGATTCTTCTAGTTGCTAAGTGTATCTATTCCAATTATGCATTTTAGAACTGGAGATAAAACACAAGATGAGTTCAGGGATCCACTGGAAAACGAACCAGATAAAATTCCATTGATAACTTGACTTCCTAAGTCCCTACTCTGCTGATGGGCCACAGTGATGTTTTGGTTGTCCTGAAATTTGTGTTGGTTCAGAGCCACTGTCTAGTAATCTGTGAAAGGCCTAAGGATTTCCTTAAGTCCAGTGCATGTTCACCTTGGCAAAGGGCCAAAGGTTCACATAAGAAAGGGAGAAAGGTTAACATAAGAATTTTTGGTAGTGTACTGGGTCCTTCCTCAAGGGGCCTCAGCCTCTTCTTCATTAAAGATGTTCTGGGTTTGTGAACTGGATCAAGAATTGACTGACATGATACTCCATTTTTAAGATTCAAATTAGACTTTTATTCACATGACCTAGAACTTTTCTGCTTAAACAGATCAAGTAAGAATTTAGTAGGCTTCCCAACTATTTTACTTTTAGGAATGCCATGATCAGCTAGTCAATGCCATAGGGCTCTGTGAGTCAGACTCTTCTGATCGCTGCTTTTTTTCCCTCCTGATTGCTACTTTGACTCTGCTGTCCGTTATGGTAACCACATCCATCTTCAAAAGCTTAGGGAGGTGAGTAGGTCTTAAACGATAAATCTACTCTACCGTTTTCATCTCCCTAAGCTTTTGACTCCTTTCCTTGAGAGTAAACTATAGTTACTGTTGAATTACTTCTCCTTTCAATTTATCACATTTTTCTTAATGTATTTTTGGGTTTTGTTGTTAGGTGCTTTCATGTTTACAATTATTATTTCTTCCTAGATTGAAGTTTTATCATTATCATTATACAATATTCTTTGTCTCAAGTAACAGTTTTTGTCTTAATATCTGTTTTACCTGATACTAGTATAGCCAATATAGCTCTCTTTCGGTTACTATTTGCCTGGAGTATCTTTTTCCATCCAGTTACTTTTGGCCTTTTTGTCTTCGACTCTAAAGTGAGTTTTTGGGGACTTCCCTGGCAGTCCAGTGGTTAAGATTCTGCACTACCAATGCGGGGAGCATGGGTTTGATCCCTGGTTGGGGAACTAAGATTCCACATGCCAAGTGGCAAAGAGAAAAAAAAAAAGTGATTTTTTTTTTTGCAGACAGCATAGCTGAACCATGATTAAAAGGAAAAAAAAAAAACAATAACCTCTGAAAATCTCTGCCTTTTAACTGGAGAGTTTAATTCAATTTCATTTAGTGTAATTACTGATAAGGACTTATTTCTGCCATTTTTCTATTTGCTTTCTGTATGTCATATCTTTCTTCAACTCTTCCATTACTAACTTCCTCTGTGTTAAATTGATATGTTTTAGTGTATCATCCACAATGTTATTTTGCAAATGTGAAGCTAAGTAGGAAATAAAAGGAGATCCTTAGAAGTGGAATTACTAGGTCAAGGGCAGGGCAAGGCATGCACTGAAACTGCTAAGTTTTACCAGATTGGTCTTAAATGATTCTACCAATTTGACTGGATACTTTCCATACAGGGCTTTGCATTTTATTGAAAGCATCTGTTAGCTTGCTAGGATTCTCCCTTAAACTGTGTCTTCCTGTAGAGGGGGACCTAATTATTCATTTTTTATATTCCCACGTTTTCATGCACTGGAAGCCAAAAAAGATGTGAAGAAAGAAAAAGGAATCTTTTATCATGTCATGACAGGAATATTGGAAAATGAGGAACCATGCAGTATCTGGAACTTTAGGAACGGCCATGCAAACCAGGAGCCCTGTGAATTGACTTCAAGTACTTAGTCCCAGAATCTTGGGAAGTGGGGGGTTCTCCAAGACACTTTACAGAAAAGGAAGCTGGGGCTAGGAAGTTAGAAGATTGAGGCTCATAAACTAGTAACTAAACTTTTACTGAGCACCTTTCCTGCGTGGGCGGTTATCCTCCCACAGTCAGCCCCTGTCCACATGGAACTTCTCTTTGTAAATGCCCGGGAGTAAAGAGTAGCTCATTTACTCCTCATCTCACCTTTTTATTTATTTATTTTCGATTGTGTTGGGTCTTGGATGCTCCTCAACGATTTAGCAGGGCTACTCTCTAGCTCTGGTACACGTGCTCCTCAGCGCAGTGGCTTTCTTTCTCAGAGCACTGGCTGCAGGAGGTTCGGTCTTCAGTAGTTGTGGTCCAAGGGGCTTAGTTGCCCCACAGCATGTGGGCTCACCCCAGATCAGGGATCAAACAGTGTCTGCTGCATTGGCAGGCAGATTCTTAACCACTGGACCACAGCAGAGTTCCCCTCATCCCATCTTAATGGCTATTATTTCCCTTTCCCAGCTGAGGAAACGCTAGGCTCAGAGAGGTAAAATCGCTTGTATAATTAAAGTCACACAGCCAGTAGGTGGCCAGGTTTGGGTTTCAACGCAGACCAGTGCTCCCGATCGCTGTTATTTCTTGCCTCTGAACAATACCATTGTCCAGAGCAGCAGCAACCACTTTTTCTGTGCGCTAGGCTCGGTGGTAAGGACTGTCCCCATGCACTTATTCAACCAGTGCAGACTGAGTAGCTACTACGCGCCATGCGCCCTCATCTTAAAAGATCTGGCGAAATTAGCCCAGGGAGTTTCTCCGAGGGAAGGGGCCGCACTACACCTTCCTCGCCAAGCCTCCCCAGCTGGGTGTTCCACCTCGGGAAGGCATCCAGCTGGCGCTCAATTAACCCATGGCACTGTCGCCGCTTCTAGGAGCGCAGACGACCACGGCCGCAGCATCCGCTGCCCGAGTGCCACAGAGAGCGGCTGAGGCGGCCCCAGGAACTCCTGCGGTCGCCGGGACGGCGGTTGGAAGCCCCGCCCCCGCGCGTGCGCGCTGCGCGTCCCGCCGGCCCGCTCGGCTCCGGCAGTGCGGGCGCGGTGGAAGGCGTCCTCGAGGAGCGCGCGCGCCTGCGCCGTCGTCGGCCTCGCGCACGCGCACCTGCGCCGGCCTCACGCACGCGCACGGCGGCGGCGACGGCGGTGGCGGCGGTTCCTGCCGGGGGCTGCGAGGGCGGGCGGCCCTGAAGGAAGCGGCGGAGCTGAGGGGCTCAGCGGCTCGGCGCGCGTGACTCTCAGCCCGGCTCGCCCCGCGGCGGGCGTTTTGAGCCTGTCCAGGGGCGCGGACGCGGCGGTGGCGGCGGCGACCCGAGGCCTGCGGCCTAGGCCTCAGCGCGGCGGCGGGCTCGAGTGCGGCGCGAAGCCGGCCAGAGGGCCCTACACGGCGGCACAATGAGCGTGGAGGCGTACGGGCCCAGCTCGCAGACGCTCACCTTCTTGGACACCGAGGAGGCCGAGCTGCTCGGCGCTGACACCCAGGGCTCCGAGTTCGAGTTTACCGACTTCACCCTCCCCAGTCAGACGCAGACGCCCCCCGGCGGCCCCGGAGGTGGCGGCGCGGGGGCCCCGGTCGGAGCCGGCCCGGGCGCGGCGGCCGGACAGCTCGACGCGCAGGTGAGCAGCACATGGCGGCGCCGGAAGCCGGGGCCGGGCCTCGGCGGCGGGGGACCTGCTCGGGTTTCCCCACCGGCCCGGCCGGGGTTGATCTGCTCGGCTCCTGCAGTCCCTCCTGCTCCAGAGTGACTTGTCCGGGGTATGTCCCGCTTAGTCCAGGTCCGGAATAACCTGCCTCCAGTTTCTGCTCTCCAGCCGACCCGGGTAAACCTCCTTCAGGACCTTCTCTGGTCTCTCTCGAGTGATCTCAGGATCTAGTTCCACACTGAGTCTTAGCTGATCGGTCCCAAGTCCCCTTCCGGGCCTGTCCGAAGTGACCGGCCCTAGGTACGTCTGTGGCCTGGGCGGGGGTGACTTGTCCCCGAGTTCTCCTTCAGCTGGGTCAGTGCCCCGCTCAAGCCAGCTCCTGATCTGCGCCGATTCCCCCCTCAGTCCCATCTGACCGCTGCCCCACCCCCTTACCTGTGGTCGCAGTCTGGGCACCCCTGCCCTCATTCTTGCCCAGTGTCCAGTGGGTTTATATTGCATCGGGCCCACGGACGCTGGCGAGAGGAGGGCTGAGGCTCCTCCAGCAGAAACGGAATTTGTGCATTCAACAGAGAGCCCCAAGCTCGCAGAGTTTTAAGATTATTAAGGAGAGTGTTTGCGTTTTGTTTTTTCTTCTTGAATTGCCTGTTGCTGAAACCGACCTGTTACGTAACTCCGCAGCCCTGCCTTGGAAAAGTTGGTTTTGAGTTTGTTCCTCCAGTGGGTCAGTCAGTGGTAGTGGGTTTTATATACGTGGCTCTGCCACGTCAGGAACTTTTGTTCTTAATGATGTGAACATTTAGCAAAGGCTGCTTGGTTATTTTAAATTTGGGTTTGTGTTATGAGAGTGTATCCGGCATACACTTCCTGGATCTGGGTCCCTGACCCGGGATGGGAGAGGGCGCTGGCTGTGGTCTTGGGCTAGGCTCCCCAAGGAATGTAGCCATCATCCTGTGGGTCTCAAATTCCATTCCTGTGCCTGGCACCTCCCTCAGATTTATTTTCCTGAATTCTCAGCCACAGGGGAACTATAGGCTTCACCTTGTCACAGGTGTCCCTTGGCATGAGGACCCACTGCCAGAGTTGGGGGAGCCAACCCAGTCTCAGCCAGAGTGAGCTGAAACTGTCTCCTGGGGAAAGGGGCTTGCATTCTAGTTGATTGAGTCACTCCCTGTGGGTAGACCACCCACTTGGACTTTCTTTTAGCCCCTAATAGAAGCAGAAAACATTCGACTCATTCTAACCCCAGATTCCTTAAAAATAGAAGCTTAATGGGTGGGGCATCAGGGAGAACAGGTGTGCACATATCTGTGTTTTTTTCCCTTTTGTTGACATATCATGGGGGCAGGGAGAGTTTGCCTGGGAAATAAGTGAGCCGCTGGAAGCTCATGATAACACCTGTTATCAGAGTAGTTTCATACTCTGTAGGTGCTGTTTCCACAGCTGTAACATGGGGGTAACAGCTGTATTTTTGTTCCTTTTAAACATACTGAAATCTGGACTCATGTATGAATGGATAGACCAGATATTACTGTCTGTTATTTGTATCCAGTATGTCCAGAAGACTGAGGCTAAAGATCTCTTGGCTGAGCAGGGTGCCATGACCTGTGGCAGTTCAGGGTTGTTTTGTGGAACGTAATCGTTTTATTGCAAATCCTTTTTAAACTGTAGACTGTAAAACAGCAAACTTGGGTTCTGTTTCAGCTCTGAGTTCTAATTTTGTCCCTTGGGTTCTGTTTTTGATTAATTGTGGGGGCGTGTCTTTCTCTTTCAGTTGAAGTAATTGATTTCTTTTTTAAAAAAATAAATTTACTTAGTTTTTAATTGAAGGATAATTGCTTTACAGTAATTGCTTTCTTTTAGTGCACCTGAACACTGAACTGTATTGAATAAGAGCATTAAAACACTTCACCAGAGGGAAACATTACAGTTGAGCTTGCTTGTTATGACATCAAAAGGGTTTGTCTTTTTTTACTTTTAAGTAACTCTGGTGACCCACCCACCTGTAGCCTAACTCTGGATTTGTCTTTGGGTAAGGGGAGTGAAAAGTTGATTATCTCCTGTGTTAGTTGGTGGCATTGGCTGCCTATGACATTTGGGAGGTTTTCCCTCATTTGTCCTCAAGACTTGCCTGTATAACCAGATGTCCGGTGGAGCTTCTATTCTGAGTGCCTTTTGATTTTATCTTTTTGGATGAGTGGCTGTGAATTGTCAAGTGCCGTGCAGCTACTTTTGTGTCACAGCTTTACTGAGATAGAATTTACGTACCGTGTGCCTCACGTGCCAGTGCTGCCCAATGCCTTTAGTACAGGGCTGTGCAGCCACGCCCGCAGTCGCTCTCAGGGCTTTTTCCTCACCACAGAAAGAAGCCTGGTGCCCTGGAGTCTGCCCGCCTTCCTTATCTAACCCCCGCCGCTGACCCGTCTCTGTTCACCTACTTCGGGCCTTTCATGTAAGTGGGCTGGATGTGGCCGTACTGTGCCTGTGGTCGTTCACTCACACCAAGCACGTTTTCAAGGCTCATCCACGCTGTAGCTTGTATCTGCTGCATTCCTTTTTATGACTGAATGATGTTCCACAGCATGGACAGTCGACGTTTTGTTTATCTACTTGTCTGTTGGTGGACCTTTGGCTTAGCTACTGTGGGAAGTACTGCTGTGAACATCTGTGTACAAATTTATGTGTGGGTGTAAGCCTTCAGTGAAATTCTGGGTGGTCTGGTAACAGCTGCCTGTTACCTTTTCAGGGGCTACCAAACTGTTTTCTAATGTGTAGCTTTCTACGTCACTGATTCCACTTTTAATATCAGTCTTGACTGCCAGTTTTGGTTTTGCCTGAAGGTTTAGGTAACGTGTGTATCACGGGGCGGTGGGGAGAATGGTGCTGAGGTGAACTGAGTTGGTTCAGATAACACTTGTTTTCTTATTTATGAAATGAACAGATATTTTTCACAGCCCTGTCAAATGTCCTTAAGATAAGGCAACGATTTTCTTTTGAGTATTTGACCCTTTTTTGGGCCTGTCTCCCAATGTCTCAAAGGGCAGGGAAAGGTGATTTCAGAAGTCCTTTGCATAACAGCTGGTGTTACAGACCTTCTGGCCTGTTTAGTTGTAATATTTCCCTTTGGTGCTGCTATCGTGTTTTCCTCCAAACATTGGAATTATGATGATGAAAATCTTGAGTTGGGAACACTACCAAACAAAAAAAGGAATGAACCACTGATGCACACAGCAGCATGGATGCATCTCAAAATAATTCCACTGAGTGAAAGACACACTTTAAAAAAAAGGTATATACTCTATGATTCTTCTCATATAAAACTCTAGAAAGTGCTAGGTAACCTATGGTGATAGAAGGTAGAACAGTGGTGGGGGAGAGGAGGAGAGGAGGGAGGGGATGACAAAGGCAGGAAGAGACTGGGGGTGATAGATGTGCTTGTTATCTTGATTGATGGATTCATGAGTATTTAGATACATCAGTGTGTGTCAATTTTAAAAGCTGTAAAGAGCTGCTACCTTGTCTCAACCCTGGCTGCCTTCAGAAGTTCTGACACATCTTTGACTATCTAGGTAAACAGATTGTCTTATGATTCCTGGCCCTTAGCTTATGATGACGAGTGAGTTCCTTACAGTTCCAGGGTTCCTGAAAGCGGTGTTTAAAATTTGCGTGGACCTTTTTTGGTTGTGTGAACACTCGGTTAGTACAACTGTGACATAGTGCGCCTTGAGAAAATTGGAGACGAGATCCTGCGCACTTCACAGGAGCTCTGGCAAGTATTCTATAGCACTTGTCTTTTACTGGATTTCCGGGGTTTGAAAACTAAAAGGGAGGAACTCACATGACTTAGTGCTGAATAGCCGAAATAGCTTCTGCCTCTGTTTACCCAGTTAATTTCTTTACCCAGATTTAGCGTGATTGGGGGAAGTTAACACTAACACAATAGCAAAATTCTCTGTCAACCTGGGTCCCACAACCAAAAAAGGAGACATCTTTCAAACAGCTTCACTGAGGTATGATCATGCACCGTGGAGTCCTCTTGTTCTTCAGTGTTTGATTCAGTGGCTATTTTTTTAGTAGCTTTACTGAGCTTGCAGCCATCCGACAGTCACTCCCTGTCCTCTCTTCTCTCTCATGCCACCGTTCTTTCCTCTTCAGCTTTGCTCCTGCTGATCTTGGTAGTCTCTGGTTAAAGCCCTGAGGTTGGGAATCGGGTGAGCCACACTTGGCCACTTGAGCCCGCACGTCGGGGATGTGTGCTGCCTGCCCTGTGTGGGCTTCCGAGCCGGGGTGCTGAGGCTTGGCCGCCCGCTCAGTGACGAGCCTGCGCGCCCGTGTGTCTGTCCACCGGTTCTTTGGTTCCTTCCACACAGGCTCCCAGGCTGCCCTCCCTGGCCTGATTCTCGACGGCTGCCCCTCGGTGCTCCCCTTTCCCCGTCCTGCTGTGCTCCAGGAGCGCTGTGGGCAGTGACTCCTGCAAGGAGGCGGAGTGAGCCCTTTGTCAGCGGCAGCTGCTGCGTTAGACGTGGCGGGTGCTGCCCAGTCTGCAGGTGACTTTGGGGACAGTGGGAGTCCAGAGGAGGGTGTGGTCTGCCTGGCAAAGTGAAAGCCTTTATGAGTGGTGCTCCTGGAGTCTGTCAGGAAGCTGCGCCCACTTGGCGGGGAACACAGGGCTTGGCATGGAGGGCTAGTGGGTGCAGGCAAGGGCCAGTGTCTACACCGAGGGGCCCGGCTCGATCTGGGAGCCTTGTGTTGCTGCTGAGGGGTACCGTGACCTCACTTGAGAGTGGGGCCCTTAGATGGCGGGAGGTCTGGCAGAGTGTGGCTGAAGCTGGAAGGGGGATTCAGACAGAGAGTGCTGGGGTCAGGCGTGTGGCCTTCATGTGTGTGACAGAGAACGCTCATGGTACCAGCTGGCCCTTGCTCCTCCTGGGGTCCCACAGCTAGCATCAGATCCTTTTGTGCCTTTTTAAATG